CTTCCTTCCTTCCTTCCTTCCTTCCTTCCTTCCTTCCTTCCTTCCTTTCCTTTCCTTTTTTTCCTCTCTTCCACCTGCTCCTTCTCTTTCTCCCTCCCCTTCCATTTCTTCTATTCTTCTTCCTCTTCTTCTTCACCGTCACCATCATTGTCATCATATGTGGATACATGTTGTGTACATGTGGGCATACATGCCATGTCTTGTGAATCAGAGGATGACTTGTGGAACCAGTTCTCTTTCCATCTTCATGTGGTCCCGGTGATCAAACTCGGGTTGCCAGGCCTGCACAGTAGGCACTTTTACCCAGTGACCTATCTCACTGACTCACAGTGACTGTTTCTAACCGCACAGGCTGTGCCATTGAAAAGCTGCCACATGCGAATACCAGCATCCTTATAGCTGTCTCTGTTACACCTTGTCCTCTGGCTCAGCCTCACAAAGGACAGGTGATGGCTTTGAAATGCCGTACTAGACCCCTCATTCAACACCCAAGTGAAACCCCACTGACTCCAGGGCATGTCCTCTCCCCTCACTCTAGCTCAGCAAAGTTCGAGGAGCAGTTAGCAATCCACCCTAGCTTCCCCACCTTGCTCTGGCCAGCTGTAGCGTTTTGCAGGGCCGTTTCAGCCCTTCAGGCCTCTATGGTTTTCCCTCCTCTAGAATGCTCCACTCACCACCCTCTCTTCTTCCTGCAAACCTTCATACCAGCTTCACAATTCTGCCTGGAGGCTGGAGAGACAGCTTATTCTCACAGAGGACCCAGATTCAGTTCCCAGGACCCACATGGTCATTCATAAGCATTTGTTTCAGAGGGTCCAATGCCCTCTTCTGGGCCTCCAAGGCACCAGGCAAGCATGGATGCACTCACACTGATAAACATAAAATAAAATAAATAAATCTAAAATTTTTTTAATTAAAAGAGCCTGTATGCACATCTCCTCTTCCAGGAGCCTCCCTTTGCTTCTTTCCTTTCTCCTCCTATGACATTCCATATTTTCTCTATTAAATAAGCTGTCACATGACTGACAGCTGTGGGTCAACTTACCCATAGCAACTCAGCTGTCTTTTGTGTAGCAAAGCCCAAGGCAGTAGGAATGCTGGACAAAAGGCCAGCTAGTAGGTTCTCTACACATAGCTTGTCAGCCCTCTGCCAAAAACTCTTTCCCTTCAGCTTCCAAGCACCATGTGCCAAAAGCTCAGGGGGTGGGGGGAGGGGCAGTGGGAAGGGTAGGTAAGTGGCAGGCACCCAGGGAACTGCCAATGAGTGAAGAACCGCCCACTCTGAAAGCAAAGTGTCCTTGGGACCATGGAGCCACCAGAGAGTTCCAGTGACAGCAACACTGTTGCTGAGCTCGAGAGGGAACAAGGCCATTCTCATGAAGTCTCTATAAATGGGGTGGGGGGAAGAGGAAGGGAGAGAGAGCTTGAGTCCCACTTCTCAGGTGCTGGATAGATGGCTATTGAGTGCCCTGAGCCGTATTACCTGAGTCTCATAGGTGTCCCCAAATAGGCTGAGGGATGTGCCTGCCCGAAGCTCCCTGGAGTGACCAGCCAGCCAGGCCTTCAGTGACATGGGCTCCATGATGGACCGTGTACTCAGTGGGAATGGCGTCTCCTTGAGCAGCTGGTCTGTGCCAGGGACACACTGCTGAGCAATGACCTACAGGCCCAGCCCACCCAGCCCCAGTACAGCCAGGTCCCAGGAGCCCTAACTCAATAGCCAATATGGAACTTGGATGCTGCCTAATGACAGAGTAGCCATATAGGGATGCTACTTAGTATTGTCATCTTGGTACCTTAAATACTGGGCAGAGGACTCAGGAAGAGGTCCCTGGGACCCTGAGTCAGGACCCATCCCACTAGAGGAAGGGAGTGAGGGAGAAAGGGAAGGAAAAGGCGGTCAGGGAACTCACCAGGGTTGGGCTTTCCTGTTCGGTACTGCTCAGAGCGGAAGAACCTGCCGGGACAAACAGAGGAGGGGAATGTCAGCATTCCTGTTAAGATGTCAGTGAGGCGCACACACACACAAGCACACTCGCACATACACACATGCACATATACGAACATACGCGCACACACACACATGCACACACATTCACAGAGCCAGTACACATTCATAGATCCTCACATGACTTGATTACCCACCTTACTTCCCTCCCAACTGTGCAGAGCAGCTTGTCCCATCCCTAAGGTGGGAGACTCTTTTCCCCTCCCACCCCTGATGGCCACAGACCACTGGGCATTGCAAAACTGAAGGGCAGTGAAGGGAGGGGCCCAGCTAGGGACTTACTCTTGGATGATGGGGGCCAGCTGCGTTCCAAGGTCCTTGCAGTAGAACCATTTCTCAAAGAGGACATCCACAGTGTCCCCCACATAGTACCTGCCAAACCAGAGGTCAAGGTAACTCACTCTCTATCGCTTTGTGGCAGCCTGGTGCAGGCTGCGCTCGGCTCGAGGGCCCCTCTCTGAGCCCAGGCACTGCATAGCTATGCTGCACCTCTGTTGGAACAGCCCAGGGATCACACTTACGCCTGGCGTGTGCAAAGCAGTTAACAGAACGACTCGAATCGTCAGGGATTACACAGCCTATAGACGAGGCAGAGCAGGCTGCACTCAAGACTGAAGCTTGGAGAACATTTAATCCAAGTGTATTTGTTCTCAGCAAATGGAACTTGAAGCTGAGCCTTAATCTTGGACCGGCAGCTGGAAGTGCTGCTTTGTGTTCTTTGGGCCCTGGGTCATTGTACACAGGAACTTCAGCAGCCAGGGCAGCACCCCCTCCCCCACCCCGGAGGTCAGAGGTCACCTCTGCTGCACAGCTCTGGCCTCCTCTGGCACACGCAGCCTTCAGTCACCCCTGCCGCTCATGTCCCCAAGAGCAGGGAACACCAGGGCAGGCAGAGCCGTGCTGTGCCACTGGTCCTTACTCAAGGCAGGCGCTGGGAGCAGTTGTCCCCAGAATGCCCAATCCCTGCACCATCTCTAGCCCAGCCCAGTTCTGTCTGCTCTTCAACCCTCTCCAGAGAGGCAGGGACAGTCCTATGGAGCGGGAGAGGAGAGGCTGCAGATGTACTGTGCACCCACGCAGCTTCTAACCTGGGACCAAGCTGGCTACCAGAAAGCTTCATTATGGGGCTGCAGTGCCCTCAGGAATGGCCTTCAGGGTGGCATTTTAATGTTGAGTTCCTGGCTTTTATTAAAGGTCAAAAGCAGCCAGAAGAAATCCGTTATTAAATTTGCTGTAAAATGTTATTGAGGACACCAGTAACTCACCAGAGTCTCCGCCATAGAGCACCTTAGAGGGACTCCTTTTAAAATTTAAGGCCAGCCATCTGCCTATCTCACAGGTCATTATGCTGTAGACATGTGCAGCCATGAGCAGTGTGTATGTGTATACCTATATATATTATATATACTGTATATATATATATATATGTACAGACATATATATAGGAATTCTTAACAAGATGAGAAATACTCGTGAACTTTTCCAGTGGGCATGTGGCTTCAGTTATGCAAACTGGAAGTTTTCGGTGCGTCGTGACTATTTCTTTTCTTTCTTTTTTTTTTTTTTTACATTTAGTTATTTAGTGGGTGTGGTCACATGCCATCGAATGGGTTGTGAGATCAGAAGACAACTTTCAGAAGTTCTCTCCTTGCAGCGAGTGGATCCCCAGAGTGAAACCCAGGCCCTCAAGCTTGGCAGCCAGCGCCTTCACATGGAGCCAGATGGCTGGCTCTGACATCAATTGCTTTCTTTCTTTCTTTCTTTCTTTCTTTCTTTCTTTCTTTCTTTCTTTCTTTCTTTCTTTCTTTCCTTCCTTCCTTCCTTCCTTCCTTCCTTCCTTCCTTCCTTCCTTCCTTCCTTCCTTCTTTCTTTCTTTCTTTCTTTCTTTCTTTCTTTCTTTCTTTCTTTCTTTCATTTTTTCCACTAAATAGAGCAAAACTTAAAGCACATGCAATGCATATAGTAAGACTGAAGAATGAGGAGAGCTGTGAACACAGGAAGGTCATTTCACATCTAACAGGAGAATGACAAAGGACTTTCGTTTCTGCTTTTTAATTACTTGTTTCCTTGGGAGGAATGCCACAAACCCTAACACCCTCCCTTCAGTGGCAGGTAATTGTAATTTAGCTCACTTTGAATTCTTATGTTTCTAGTCTTTGAGAAGGAATATGTATGATTTTGACTCATTAAAAAAATGAGCATTTAAATATGCTCATTATAACAGAAGATATGAGTCTGGTAACTTGTGGAGAAATTTGAGTTTTCTTTGAAACTTTAAAAGCAGGAGATTATTTGGCTCTCTGGGCTTCAAGGACTTTCTTCGTTCAGCACACAATAGTCTAGGACAATGGTTCTCACCCTTCCTAACACGTCAGCCCTTTAATACAGCTCCTCGTATATGGTTGTGATGACCCCCAACCATAAGATTACTTCATTGCTTCCTCATGACTGTAATTTTGCTGCTGTGTGAATTGTAATGTAAATGTTTTCCTATGATCGTAGGCAACCCCTGTGAAAGGGTGAAAGGCTTGTTCAACCCCAGTGACAGGGCACTGACCCACGTGCTGACAACCGCTGGTCTGGAGACTGGTGGAGCCCCAAGGGAAGTGGAATGGAGTCTGACTTTACCCTCCAGGACCTGGTTCTTCCACCTTGCTGATCCAGCATGCACACTGGGCTTTGTATTGCTCTGCAATGCCAGGTCTGGCATGTTGCTTTACCAGGGTCTTGTTTCTTCTCCAGTACTAACAGAACCCAGTTCTAGTATGTGCAAGGCCCTAGGTTCAGCCCCCAGAGCTACAAAAAGAGCAGATGGTAAGCCCCCAGCATCATGGGGGAATATAGGGTATACAGATCCACACAGAAACCCTTAGCTGGTGCCTGCAACATAGCTGCTCCTGGCCAGATGCCCATACTTGCTGTCATCTGGGGAAAAGACACAAGTATGAGGCACTGGCCGAGGAGCACTTCTGCAGGCCCAGGCTGCTAGATACAGCAGTATTTACCTATATCAGGACACGTGGCTTTCTGGGTTCCTTCACCCTCCCTTTCTGCATCACCCCTCTGCACCACCAATTTCCTAGCAGGCCTGCAGACAGCAAAAATGCAAAGTCCAGCCGAAGTTTTCATCTGAATCACAAAGAGTATCCCCTCCCTTCATCATCAAACACATCCTCCCCTCTCTGGTCAGCCAGCACACCCAGGGTCTTCATCACCTCCTGTTGCCTAGCCCTCTAGTCTCTTGGTGGTCAGGAAGTACTTTCTGAAGTCTATCATAGATCCTTCCTGCTATACTTTTGAGCTATATTCCTCTGCTGGTAGCCCTCTGATCACCCAAGCCCTGCAAGTCAGGAGCCTTTACCTTAGCCCATCAAGCTCTGTTTCCAGCCGCCTTCTCTCAATCACCAGCCCCATGGTGTTGGCAAACCTCTGGGGGGAGTGGGGAACCCTGGCAGGCAGGAGGAATATCTGTAGGAGTGGAGAACAGAAGTCCAGAGAGGCTGCAATCCTTCGAAGTGACCTCAGTGTCCCCAGCACACTGAGTGACCCACGGGGCAGCAGGGAGCCCAGCCTCTCCACCCTGGATCCCACTCTGGCCTTAGGGAACATTGGCCTGTCCTCAGAAAAGAGGAAGCCCTGAGGATAAACAGGAAAACCAACCAGGGTGAGTTTCTGCTCTGATGCTCTTTGCCTTTTCTTTCTCTGGGGTCAGCCTCACCTCTCCCTGTCGTATGACCACATCCCGGTGTTTTCCTTGCTCCAGGACACGGAGAACCATGTCTCCCTCCAGCTGGTAGAACACCTGTGGGCAAACAAAGACCCGGAGACCTCCCTGCTCTATCCTTTAGATCCTTAACTTCTGCCAGGGATCTCAATTCTTACCAGAAAACTGGAAAAGCTTCCTGAAGGCCTCAGGGCTTATGAACACCCCCAGCACTCCTGTCCTGAGGCCCCTGCACCCCCAGCCCAGGCCACAGACAGGAAAGCTGGAGACATACAAGGCATCACAATGGAACATGTAGGTATCCATTGGATTACCCAGGATGCAACAGCAGGTGCCTGGCTAGGAGGAGGGATGTAGAAGGCTGGGTAAGAAGCTCCCTAAAAAATTCTGTGATGCAACCATGATACTCCTTAACTTAGCCTCTTTCACGCATGTCAGAAATCTCACAACCCCAGCATCAACATTATTAGCCCCATTCTGAAGAAAGCTGAAGCTCAAAGCAGCTGACCTAAGCCAGGGAGTCCTGGAGTTGCTGTTGGGACAGGTAGCCTGTGTGCGCTCTGGGGCCTCTGTACATTACTCCAGCCATTGAGATGCTCTGGCATTGGGCTGTGGAAGTTGGCAGCCTAGGTTGTTGGAGTTGGTGGCTGGACTCTCTCCCTAGGGGGCGCCTACTAAGTTTTCCATTCTGTCCTAAAATCTCAGTCAGCACCTTATGAGCCGGGACATGATGACTCGTGCCTCTAAGTGGCAGAGGATTGCCTTGAGTTTGAGGCCAGCCTGGGCTATAGAGTGAGACCTTGTCTCAAAAAACAAAGCAAACAAACAAACAAACAAATGATCCACAGAGGTTCCAATTACATAGTAGTCCACAGATAACATAGGTCCATATGTAACATAAATTAATGTATAACATAGGGCCATATGTAATATAGGTGACAGTGTTCATGGTTATGAGGGAGGTAAAGCTTTCTACACTTTTTATGTTTTCTGCAATGAATGGTATTTTCATTATTAAACCCAAGCCATATGATTGAAGATGCAGCTCCACGACAGAATGTTTATTACATAGTATGTATGAGGCTCTTAGTTTAATCTCCCACAACACACACACACACACACACACACACACACACACACACACACACACACACAC